TTATTCATTCCATTTTCTCATAACAATTCAAATTATTCTCATCTAATCCATTCTAGTATAAATAACAAACAAAAAAATCATCAAAATAACAACAAATTAAAATAATAATTACAGTGCAAAAAAATTTAATTTAACATAATATATTCATATATTACTCAATATTATAAGTTTATGTTATATTTAATATTGTTAATTTCGTTTATAAATGTTTATAAATATTATTCATTCCATTTTCTCATAACAATTGAAATTATTCTCATCTAATCCATTCTAGTAAATAACAACAAAAAATTATCAAAATAACAACAAATTAAAATAACAATTAGAGTGCAAAAAAATTTAATTTAACATAATATATTCTTAAATTACTCAATATTATAAGTTTATGTTATATTTAATGTTGTTAATTTAACATAAATGCTTATAAATAATATTCATTCCATTTTCTCATAACAATTCAAGTGACAAAATTAATTAATTCGCGCCTAAATATTAATTAATTTAACAAAAATAGTAGAAATTTATCTAACTACTTAAATTACAATTTTTAAATAAATAAACTTGTGTATTATACAATTTAAAAATTAAAGAATTTAGTGATAGAAACCTGAATTATAGAAGAATTCCGTCGTCGATCAATTCTTTATGTACTCAACCAGCTCAAATAAATTCCCTACAAAAATAAATTGTATCTAAAAATTAAACATAAAACATACCTTTGTGAAGAATGAACTTGCAAGCAAGAAAAACTGGTGAAAGAGAGAATAAAAATATTACAAGCAAGAAAAACTTACCTTTGTGAAGAATGAACTTGCAAGAACTCGGGAAGAAGAAATTGCAATGGTGAAAGAGAGAACTAGAAGGCTTCGTAAATCATGAGAATGAGATAAATGCAAGAGAAGAAGAAGAAAACACGGGGGAGGGTATATAAAGACTATCAATCTGTTGCTTACAACCGACACCGGGTTTCAAAATATTAAAAAAAATAAAATATATGTCGCTAAGAACCGACACAGGATTTAAAATATATAAAAACAACAATTAGTGTAGCTTCTATATGCGACACCCATACTTTATATTGCTTAAAAGCGACACTGTTTTATTTAAAGCGACGCTAGTATTTAAAATTATTAAAATGTGTGTCGGTTATAAGCGACATTAACTGTTTACATCGGTTTAAAAGCGACGTAGGCTTTGTAAATCTGACGTCATATTCAGTGGGTGTCGCAACTCTCTTGTGCGCCACTATATTATATTAAATCGACGCAACAACTGACACTATAAGGCTCTTTTATAGTAGTGGAAGGGCTTATTCCGACAGTGCACTACCGTTGCCTACCACATGGTTGAAATAGAGATAGAAGAGCCCTCAAAAGGCAAAGTTATTGCCATTGTGGAAGAGAAAACTCCCACACCCAAAGAAAGCCTACTAGCACACTTTAGCATCGAGAAGGCACTACGATTGCCCAATGTGATATCAAAAGCACTAGTAGTGGTGATACATGTGACATATAGGATGACACATAGGACTCCTACCCAAGCTACACCTTATTCTCTCGTATATGGCGTGGAAGTTGTTCTGCCGCTTGAAAGTTAAATCCCCTCACTAAGGATGGGTATACAAGAAGACTTAATTGAAGAGGAAAACGCAAAGCTATGACTTCAAGATTTGGAAGCACTTGACGAAATGAGACTTGAAGCTTAACAATACTGCCAAAACAAAATCAAAATCATCATCAAAATCACCACCAAAACTGCCAAAACCATAAAAAACAATCCATCACCCCTTTGAACAACGTCATGACTTGATCCCTCCTTAACCGAAGGCACGTAGGCAACTTGAAATTCCAAACTTCAAGTACAGTCACATCATCAACAAAAACACAAACACTTTGAAGAATAAAGAGTAAATTCAAGAATGTGAATACTTTATTTCTTTAAATGAAGAATTTGGCTACAAAGCCGTATTACAAAATGAGCAAAAAACAAACACGGCTTCTCCAACAGTCGACAAGGTGTTATTCCAAGTCATAGCTCCGTTACGGATATGATCACTAAAAAGCTCAAACGAAGCTGGTGGATTGTCATGAACATGGTGTGAAGGATTCAAAATAAGAATCCTCGACATGCACGCCTTCTTCTTCATATTTGGACGACCACGACTCGATATGCATCAAGTTGTCTTTTGCAAGAAGAATAAGCGTCTTAGGGCTAGTTAACGGCGCATAAAGTTTCAATGTTGTTCCCCTAACTTGTGAATTACCTTCCTTCATAAGAATAGGGATGGTGTTGCTCTTAAAGCACTCGAAAAATACCATGGTTGCAAAAAAAAAAAAAAAGACAGCATAAGCATAAGGTGAGATAGCAAGAAAGAAAAAAAAAGAAGAAGATCGCTTTAATAAAGCAAAAGACATGCGAGACAAACCTCGTGAGCGTTGAATGATGGCGATGACAAAGTCACAACAACGAAAAGAAATCAGCCACAAAGCTTGAGCAGCACAGCAAAGAGGGCAGCTGCAAGACGTTCCTTCAAAGCACGCTACCATAGCAAAAGAAAACCAAAATTCTATGCAATCGCACTACGCAACCCCATATCGATTATGCAAGCAGTTTCTTACACTGCCCGGCAACGTCACCACCAAGGGAAAAACCGTGACCAAAAGGCACTACACAGTGTAACCTTATTGCAGTCTTTTGAACAACATCACATGGTAAAAAATGACGCACTGCAACAAGCTTCAAGTAGCCACGGCAATAACAGCAGCAAGCAGTCATGGCAACAACAGCAGTAAGCAGCTATGGCAACAACAACAACACGCACATGGCAAGGGTGTTTTGTGACAAAAAGCACACACCCAATTGTACTATAAATAGGGGTCAATTGCTTCTTAATGTTATAAGGGAGAGTACATACCAACTAGCAAAACGAAAATCAAAAGAAGGAAGTACATTCAAACCAAAAAAAGAAAGCAAATTCCAACAAAAAAATGGCAAGTTTCAGCCAATCTGCGCAAGCAGGACATTTTTGGTGATAATTAAACTTTCTAGAGGAGTTTTGATGCAAGGCCAATTAGAGAAGGAAGCAAACAGGCTGATGATCGTTTTATCCAAATTTCATAATTTTCCCTAAAGCCAAAATTTCTAGTTTTCAAAGTTAATCCCGCAGAAGTTGTTTTCCCATTAGAACTGCACAGCTATGGGAATATGACGAGTTGAAGGCTTTCCCAATTTTTCCTAGTGGTGTGCGATATATGCCTGAAAAGATAAGAGATAAAGCTACGTTTTCCATTTTTTTACAGAATTTTCTAAAAGATAAATCGACCTCAAACGTGGCATGAAAGTCAGATGACATGTTTCCCAAACCAAGGACAAGTCTTCAAGTTTCCCAAACCAAAAGGGAAAATACCCTCTTTACTATGGAAAAGAAAAAGGGAAAGGAAAAAAAAATGCAAATCCTACTTACCCAAGGACAAGCATTAAATCTTTCCAAAACCTTGAAGGAAATCACCAAAGCTTTCCAACACTTTGAAGGAGATCACCCTGATTACCAAAATTGAAGGAGGTTCCCACTTAAGGAAGGAAAAACATTTTTCCTACAACCACAAGAAAAAAAATTCAAAATACACCAAATGTATTTTGTCAAAATTATGGAAAATCAATACGCACAATAAGTATGTGCCGATTTATCCATTTCCAAAATTTCATTCAAGATCATGCCTTTATGGCCCTTGATTTTTTTTTTTCTTTCAAGAACAAGCCTCTACGACCCTTGAAGAAAAATTTCATTCAAGATCAAGCCTCAACGGCCCTTGATGAAATTCATCATTTCAATTCAAGAAATACGCCTCAACAACCCTTGAAGAAATGTCTCGTTCAAGAAATACGCCTCTACGACTCTTTGAAGAAGCAAACTAATTCAAGATCAAGTTTCGACATGACACACTCCGACCCGAAATGTCCACTAGGACTTCGACTTCGAATTGAGCTATGATGGCCGACAGCTGGAAGGTGACGAAGCCATAAAGTGTAGTGATGTGGAAGATGTGAATAAATTTAAACCTAAAAGTGCCTAAATATAACAGTGCGCTAGTGAGCGAGAGTGTGATGACAGAGCATAAGTAAAGTATAGTAAGGTAGGATAAGGATTTATACCATCATAGGTAGCCACCCATACTGAGATTTGCCAAGAATCCTCGTCGATACGAAAGCTCGGCTATTAAAACCTTGAGAGGCGAAAAACAAAGGTGAGTGGGCCTGAAAATAAAGTTTTAGTAAAAACCTTTTGAAAACATTATAACCCCTCACCGTAAAACAAGTATAGTTTCCCGAAAATCATATTGAGTATAGGTATGAAATCAAATGCAAAACAATAGTAAATCCATAAGTATGCCACATAGTAATATAAGTAAAATTAGGTGTTCAATCAATCTATACTAGCACACAAGTCGGATTCGCCTAATGTGACCTGTACGACTGAACTGATGCTCATCAATCTATGCTAGCACACAAGTTCGGAGTTGCCTAATGCAACTTGTACGACAGGACTGGGTGTAATCATAATATACGCTATAGTGCTACAATCACGTGAAAACTGGCGCTATTCGCGGTCACTTACGTGTCAGAGTTTCTTAATGCAACCTGTACTACAAGACTGGCACCTATTTCAATCTAGGGCGAGCATGCGGTGCAGAGGTGAACATACACGTGAAAGACTGGCCTTGGCCCTGGGCGAGTACTAACACTGGGGAGCAACAATGATGAGCAGACTACATAAATATAAGCATGCCATAACGATTCAATAATTTTAGTCAACATAATAAACTTACATGTGTATCTCGTAGCATATTTCGTAACAGTATAACATTTCTTATAACATTATTTAATCATGGCATTCATATAGCAAAATCATCATTAATGAATGTATATATGGAAACTAACCAAATATATATATATATATATATATATATATATATATATATATATATATTAAAGAAAAGATCCACTCACAGATCACGTCATTAAGTCGAACCCGTTCGAACTAGAATAGCGAAGTCATCGATAATAATCGTACCTAAGCATAATATTAGGACCCATTAGTAAAAATCCACTAAAAAAATTAAACTTGGGAAAACAGAGTGCGAATTTGGAATCAGGGCGTCGAAATACACTAAGAAAGGTCCCCGGCAAATTTTATAAAAAGTCAACGAGAAGGTCGACGGTCAACCCTAAAAGTCAACTGAGACGCCCCGGCGGTCAACTACATTAAAACTTTAGAGTTTCACTAAATGGATGTCAAAAATGGACTCAAGATGTCAAAATTAGCGAATAAGGGTTTCCGAGAAAGTTTCAAAAAAGTCTCACAAGGAATATCCTAAAGAATATTCAAGGAACAGGAATATTCCAGAATCTATTTGGAAGTGGACTGGGCTAAAATAGTGGCCCAAAGTTTTGGGTCGACTAGGCTAAGGATTTGGGCCAAGGTTGGATCGGGTTTTGGGCCCAGTTTGGGTTTCGACCCTTTTTTTTTTCTCCTTCTTCTTTTCCAGCAGGTCCTCGAATTCTGGGGAAATATGGTCGGAAAAAGTTCCACAACTCGGATTAACTACAAAACTCCACCTAAATTCATCATTTAAAGATCAAAATGAAGCTAGGATGGTAGGGGTTCGAATGATACCATTTTAGGTCTCCACCGTGGCTGGAAAATAGCCGGAAGACGCCTGCAACTTACGGGTCTTTGCCGGAAAACTAGGGAAATTTCCCCCGAGGTATTTCTACATCAAAACGTCACCAAAACATCTCAAATTTATCATAATCCTACATTAAAACGAGATTTAAGAAGTTCTTAGATGTTTTCAAAGCTTACCTTAGCTGGGAATAACGAGAGCTCTCCGGGAAAAATCTTTGAACAATAATGGTGCCACTGCTTCGGGAGAGAAAGAGGAATGTCACGTTCCCATGACTTAGGTTTCATGACGAAGGATGGTATGGTGGTGCGGTCATGCTCGCCAGAGCAACAAATGTGTGATGGTGAAGTGCGGTTTCCTGTAGAAAAATGGTGAGTAAGAGAGAAAGTGATAGAGAAAGATGAAAGAGAGAGAGAGTTGAGAGGGTTAGAGGGAATGGTGAGGTGGTAATTATCCATTAGAAGAGTGAGATGAGGGAGGTTTCAAATGCAAGAGAAAGAATGGGAAATTTCGGGAAAGTGGGAGACACGGAGACAAAGGGGATAGGTGACCCAAGTGGGTGGGTCCTAAGCACACATATATCCCATAAGAAAATAATAAAATAATAAAGTTGAATATCTAAAATAGTAGATTTATTAAAATGCCCTTATGCTTTGTAGTTCCGTAAAATCTTCATTGCAGTTCCAAATTTGATTCCGTTTACGTCCGCATGTTCGTAGCGATGAGTTATACAAGGTATGTTAAAAGAATATTTTGTACATCTTACTATATGCTGGTTAACGAAAGTTAACACCTTCACCTCTAAGGGTAATTTTGTCAATTCACCCCTTTTAAAATTAATAAAATCGTAAAATTAGGGACGAGTTGTCACACGATGACCCTTGAGTTAGAACATTGTGGGACTTCAAAACATGTTTTCTACGTGTGACAAGCACATACCTACAACGCACCTTAAAGTGGGGGTATTTGTAGACACGCAAATTTCGTTGCATGCAAATAATACATCACAAAGCTCCACGTGGCATATGACTCATCACAAGTAGACAAGTCATCAATGACATGTGGTTACAAGTCATCAATGACATGTGGTACAAATCAAGCAAAGGAAGAATAAAACTTCCCCAAATTTTAGCAAAAGGGGGATCTCTCCTTAAAATCGGCAAGAGGCCCATGGATGAATCAAGACACAAATCAAAGCCAAATCAATCCAAAGGCAAGGTTTGAGAAGTCTATAAAAACAAGGTCTTAAGATAAGCATAAGGTCGACAATTTCTACATTCAAGGCCGAAATTCTCACAAAATGAGAACCTCTACCAAATCTTTGAAGACTAATACGCTGCCAAAGCTCTATTCGAAAAACGCATAACCAAAGCTGAAGTACTCCTTTGAAGAATAAACAAGCACTTGTGCCGATTCGTTCAAGATTTTGTTGCAAGCTCAAAACATGTAATGACATTTGATTCCAGATCAAGTCACTAAGACCTTTGAATCAACGAAGTCCTACATCAACATCATTGTTGCCGCATCTTTTAGGTGAAGATCATCCAAGCATCGTTTCAAGCTTAAAACTTGAAGCAATCGTTCAATTGTTCGTCTGAGATTAAGTAATCGAGACCCTTGGATCAACAACCTACGCATCTACATCAAATTTGAAGATTGAATCAGAGGAAAATTGTAAACAGAGAATGTAACCTACAAATTCAAATTTGGATTGCTTATTTTCAGTTTGACCAATCGGTTTTACATCGACATTCATCAACAGAATGGGGTTCAATGTCATCACTCAACATAATCTCAGTAGCTACTACATATGCTAATGCATCGTCGACGACCATCTCATCTTTTACAGCAAACATCATCCAAGCTAGCATAATGAACCAAAATCTCACGATTATGAAGGGGTGGATTCGTCTCTCTAAGGACGCTTTTGTAATCTAGAATTTCCTCATAAGTTGGATATAATGAGTAGGCAACTGTCAGATTCACGGTAGGTTATTCAGAGGCATGTGCCATGGGTTTCCTTTTTCGAGGGTGTGAATCATTTGAACCAAGAGGTCTGTTACGCTTTTGTGTAAGGGTAGAGGATTGGCTAGCCATTAATCTACGTGGATCAGCCAAAGTGGTGTCTCGGGCTTCCAAGAGGGAAGTCCGTTGTACATTTGGTACATTCATCTTGTAGGCATATTTGCAGCTAGAATATGTGATCTTATCACTTACGCTAGATCGGTCAAAGCATTTGGCATGCTCTGAGCTACGCTCTGAAGATCTAATATACGCTACACTTCAGTTTCAGACTGAGTGGTGCGGGGATCTAAATGAGACAAAGTGGGACTTGTCCACGATAATTTACATCGTTCATCATGAACATTGACTTTCTTATCTCCCCCTAACGACAGGAAGACTGTCTCATAGAAGTGACAATCCGTGAAATGAGCGGTAAATAGATCGCCTGTCAAAGGTTCTAAGTAACGAATGATTGAAAGAGAATCATATCCGACATAGATTCTCATCCTTCGTTGAGGCCTCATTTTTTTATGTAAGGGCGGCGAAATCGGCATATAGACCGTATAGCAAAAAACATGCAGATGTGATATGTCGGGTCGTATTTGGTAACCAACTGAAGGGCGATATGTGGTTGGGTCGCATCAGGTCTTAGACGTACCAACATGGCTGTGTGCAATATTGCATCACCCCAAGCAGCGATCGAGAGCTTGGTACGTATGACTAACGATAGAGCAATATTTTGTAAGTACTTAATGAATGCATCTGCTAGGTCGTTCTGGGTGTGAACATGGGGTACTGGATGTTCAACTTCAACCCCAACCGACATGCAATAGTCATCAAAAGTTTTAGATGTGAATTCTCCATCATTATCCAGTCGAATAGTTGATCAGATAATCAAGGTGGTGAGCCCTGAGCTGGATAACCTGAGCCAACAGTTTGGAGAATGTAGCGTTCCTTGTGGACAATAAGCACATGTGTGACCAAAGTGTGTAAGAGTCAACTAAAATCATAAAATATCTAAATGGTCCGCATAGAAGATGAATTGGTCCATAAATGTCCCCTGAATCCTTTGTAGAAAAAATAGGAGGATTCGAACAAATCTTGTCATAAGAAGGCTTAATAATAAGTTTTTTCATGGAGTAGGTTTGACATGCGATTCTTTGAATCGAACCTAAACTTCAAGTTAGTAGATGCCCTGTGTGATGATTTAAGGATACAACGCATCGTTGTTCGTCCAGGGTGTCCCAAATGATCATGCCAAAGTGTAATTTTATGCGCGGTCCCATAGGTAGGGTCGGCCACATAGTGGTTTCCTCTAGGCCGTATGGTCGTAATATACAGACCATTCGGGATACGCTCCATTTTCTCTAGAATACGCTTCTAACCATATTCGTATGAAGTTATGCACATAAATTCTACTCTATTTTCTACATAGGTTTTAGCGTGGTAATTATTATCTCTAATGTTCTTGAAACTCAGCAACGTTCTTCCGGAATGTAGAGAATAAAGTGCCTCATCAATTGTCAAGATTGTACCATTGGACAACATTATACGTGCCTTACCGTATCTTTCGATTAGGTTGGATAGGCCTGAGAGGGTTGTCAAAGGTGCATTCTTAGGTATGAAGTTAGTGAAATAGATGCATTCATGCAAAACAGTATGCATGGTTGCACTATATGCCATAGGGTAACAGTATGCGTGGTTGCACTATCGGCCCCATTATTCTAAAATTTAACTAAAACTAGTTTTTGTCTAAGACTCTAATCTTCTATAGGGTAACGACCTTTTAAACATAAAAAACATTCATCTTGGTACTCTTAGGTTCATCCACTTACATAAAGTTTGATTCAAATTTCTTACGACGAGAATGATATTCAGCTATAACTGTCTAAGGGGAACGATAAACACAGGACCAATGGTCCTTTAAACCACAACGATAGCACATGTTCGCATCCATTGTGTCAAGTGCTTTGCCTTTATTCTTGAAGTCTGGGGCCTTAGGAGCAAGGTTAGGGCGTTTCTGGGCTCGGTTTCCTCATTTAGATGGGCCTTGGTTCTGTTGACCTTGATGGGGTGGCTTCTGGCCGCCTTTACTACGCCTATATTGGCTTTTGGGATGTTGGTTCGTTATGCTTCAGGCACAGCAGTTGCCCCAATAGGTTTAACTTGATGATTTTTCATCAACAGTTAATTCTATTTTTCAACGAGAAGTAAAACAGAGATCAAATTTGAAAACTAAGTGAACTTTTAAGCCCTACATATTGTTGCAGGGCAATATTAGTAGTAGAGACAGCTGAATAGGCCTTCTCCTGAAGATCCTATTCAATCAAGGTCTCGTTACAAAACTTGAGAAGTGATCGGATTTGACAAACTTCATAATTATATTCGTTCACAGACTTAAAGTCTTGGAAGCACAAATGTTGCTAGTCATGTGTTACTTCAGGCAAAGAGATGTCATTTTGCTGATCAAAACGATCAACCAAAGTGACCCAAAGTGCTTGTACTCGGTTTGCGGTGCATCGGATGATGATCATGATAGTGGCTTTCTTAACTTTGCCAACCGGGTTGTTCGTCTCATCTTCAATGGCGGAATGCAAATTCTTTGCAGTGACGTGGAGCTTCACATCTTGGACCCACTTGAGGTAGTTTCTTCCAGAGACCTCCAAAGCGGTGAAGTCGAGTTTGTTCAAATTCGACATGTTCCTATCACAAAAGAAATAGACAAGATGTGGTTAGCGTAATGGAGAAAAAATCAATCCATTCATATAGGAATAGAACATTCAGGTTCTAATATATATGCATTGGTTTAAATTATCATGAAAAAAACATTGGTTTTTCATGGGTGATGTTTTTAAGGACAACTTCAGGTTTTCAAACAGGGCATGTTTCTAGAAACTTCAGGTTTCAAAATAATTATGAACCTCAGGTTTATATGTTCTTCCAGACAAACATAAATATATATACATAAATATGCAAATAGATCTTCAGGTCTAGATAATAATTGAATTAATTATTTGGACTTCAGGCCAAAATTAAAGTGTGGGTGAAAAATTATAAAACCCAAATTGTTTAAGAAAAAAAAAACAACTAAGCTCAAGGCTAAAAAACATAGACCAAAACCCACGGGTAGGTTGAGCAAAATTGGTGCCGTGGTCTATGCCCAAAAAAATTGGGCTAGATTGGGCTCGAGCTGATCAAGCCAAAAAGTAGAAACCCAAAAAGAAGCTCTGATCTAGTGCGTTGTGGACACATGTACCCGGGTAGACGTAATCATGTGTGTCACAGTACATGAGAGCACCATAGTTGTGTAGAGCTGTGGTCGGGTGTGTCATGATGCAGGTGCACCAACTCACCGGCTATAGCCTGAAATCTGGTGCAGTTCTATGCATGGGGACACCAAAGCCCTATGGGCTAGTGACGAATTAGGCCGA